TCAATAAACATATGGTTTCAGTTGGTCCAACATCGTGATGATATTAAAATTCAAAGTTAATGATCTTTGCATTCAGTGATTCGATTTTTATGATCTTGTGCAGTTGGATTCAGCTCATCGAGAGGATTCCAATGATATGTATTAACTGCAGATAATTGCATATGAAAAATTTAAAAAATAAGTTTGACGGTCTGGGCAGATATTATCATGTGTATGATCTTTACAGAAATTTAACATTTTTAATCAATATAGAATTGATATTGTTAAGTTTATCTTAATGGTATTGTTTTAATATCATTTTAACTAATATCATTTCAATATCGATTTAACATTGATACAATATTGAAATAAAGTATTATTATTTCGATATCATTTCAATATTAAATTAATATTAAAATGATATTGAAATGATAATTAAAATGACATTAAAATGATATCTTTAAATTAAACTTAAAAATGTTATTTCAATATCATTTCTATTATCATTTAATATCATTTTAATACTATTTTGATATCATTTTAATATTAAAGTGATAATATTTTATTTTGATATCGTATCGATATTAAATCGATATTGAAATGATATCAAAATAATATTAAAATAATATTGCTTGAAAACTTAAAGTTTCTGTAAAGATGACTGTATATGAAAATTTCATATATAGTCAGAAAATGAATTAAGTGGTTTATTATTTTCGCAAATAGCTGTAATCTGTATCAATCAACATATAACTAATTTGATACCTGATTGACAACAATTTGACCAGCTGATTAATGACTTATGGTCAACAATATTCAATCGGCAACCAATCAGTTAACGTTCAATATAGATGACAGATAGCTGATTATTTACTGATTGTTAAACTGGCACCAATCAGTCACCAATTAGCACTAATCGGTCATATGACTGATGTGTAGTCAATTGAAATAAATGCCTGATTGATGACCAGTTGAGTATCTAAATGAATGAATCAGTAACAGATCAGCTACCAATCAGGTACCAATCGGTTATATAACCGATTGATGACTGGTATATTATATTTCAATCTGTATTAGTAGGTTCTACAAATTGCAAATTTTAAATTCAAATTAGATTTGAGAATATGTAGGATCATGTGAATACAGTCAACTCTCTTTATAGTCACACATTTGGGACAGTCCATATTTGGTGATTATAAAGAGATGTGACTATATAAAAAATTTCTTATATTTGTATATCATAATTTCGGCCAAAAATTAACATAATTTTAGCCAGAATTATACTTAAAACTTTATTGTATCGTAACTTCGCCAATATTAATCGTAGAGAGATGATCTTACCGCCATTCGATTCGTCTCGATGAGACGGTTCTAATGGTATAAAATATGTCGAAATCCAATCACTAGATTAATTTCCAAAATTAAAAAAATATTAAAGGTTTTTGTGTAATAACTCTGCCAATATTGATCCTAGAAAGACGATCTTACTACCATTCGATTCGTCTTGATGAGACGAATCTAATCGTATAAGATACATCGAAATCCAATTACTAGATCAATTTCCGAAATTAAAAAATATTGAATGGTTTTTAAGTAATAACTCCGTCAATATTGATCACAGAGATATGAGCTTACCACTATTCGATTCGTCTCGATGAGGCGATTCCAACGAGCTATAAATCGTCTTTTTACAATCACTAGGTACCGAGAAATCTAGCAAAATGTTAAATGGTGCAGTAAACGTAAATCAAGAAATATTATAAT